ATGAAATGAGATTTGACATGTATATATTGATATGGTTTGATTGGTTTGCTTGGCATGTTGTAATGAAATGTGAGGAATAGCGGTAGACCGTTAACTCGTGGTGATGGGGATTTGTTGCTTCGATATGGTTTTATCTCCCGTTTCGTTGATTCATTCTAAATTTAGTATTTGTGCCTTATTTCCCTTGGTTGAACTTTTGTAAATTAAGTAACTTGTGCTTGTCTCATTTCTTTGAGCCATTATATATATGGTTGTTGGCCCTCCGCGATTCCGTTGAGTGATGGTCCGGAATCGTATCCACTCGGATTCCATTGAGAGATGGTCCGGAATCCCTCATACTCCGCGATTCCATTGAGTAATGGTCCGAAATCGTATCCACTCGGATTTTGTTGAGAGATGGTCCAGAATCCCTCCTACCCAGCGATTCCGTTGAGTGATGGTTCAGAATCGTATCCACTCGGATTCCGTTGAGAGATGGTTCAGAATCTCTCCTACTCCCCGATTCCATTGAGTGATGGTCCGGGATCGTATCCACCTTGGGTTTCATTGAGTTTGAATTGAGTTATAAAATATGTTGGACGTCTGAGTGATTCCTTCGGAAGTTTTCATGATTCGATTTTGATTTCATAAGGTATGAATTTAGAAGATATGGGAATGATTGTTATTACTTTGATCAAATTAATTAATTAGTGCGGCTAGAGAATGGTTTGTGTTTCGTCGGTTCTTAAATATGATGTATGTTGTGAATTACGATATCAGGATGAGACATAATGATTTATATGTTGGATGGGAGAGAAATCATGTTTTCATAGAGGTTGCTTATGTAGCTTGAGTCCAGGAACTACATGTTATCAGGTTATAATAAATGATTGAGGAATGCTATGTTTTCTTTTTGAACTTAGTGGAATAAACGTCTGATTTTGTGTTAATGAACTACGAATGGCTTGATCCCTATTTGAGGGTACGTAGGCAATCTAATGAGGAGGTTAGATAGGTAAACGAAAAATTTCTTTGCGATTTGATTCTCGAATTGTGATTTGCCATATTTCTGAGACGGGTTATGTGAGATATACGAGTTTTGAGTGACGTCACGTGTCGATCCTGGACGTATGTCAGGATCAGGGCGTGACAATGCAAACTGAATACCTCAGCAAAGGAGGATCCACGTACCCTCTGGCTTGCTCTGGCCGATCGTTTTATCACCAGAAATACATTTACTTTCCTGAAGCAAGACACGACTGGCAACATTTACGCTTCCAAGACTTTAAGTCTGTGAATGAATACAACTCTGAAGTTTGTAAAATATGATCACTACTTAAGTTCTATAAAGATGACTTAAACAAACAGGATCTCCTATAGAAAAGCTATTTGACTTTTAATGCCACCAATATTGTCCTTCCATAATAATATAAGGCACATAAGTTCACCAAATTTTCGAATTTGATATTTGTTTTACTTGTTGCTGAAAAGCAGAACCAACTTTTGATAAAGATTCATCAAGCTCGACCTACTGGCTGAAACGCTACGCCTGAAGTGCATGTGACCAATTCTAGTTGCCACAACCGACGGAAACCTCATCGTGGCCGTGGAAATGGGTGGCAAGCCCTACCACGGGCCCAAGGTCAACAAAACAGAGGCCTACCCAAGGGAGGAAATTTGACCCAGAAGCACCAACCTTTTGCCCCTAAAGCCCCAAACTTCAAGAACAAAGAAAAAGCTACCGTTCAAATAGCTTCCATTGAAATGGACATGTTCTATCGTTGCGGATCAAATGATCAGTGGTCATGCGTATGCTGAGCTATCCCTGAGGCTATTGCTAAGTATCATTCCCGTCGTGAGTCTAACTTTGCGGTTGTAGAAAATCCCAAAGATACTACAACAACTCTGGAGGTTTCAAATTTTCAGGAGGCATCTGCTCCCATGGAAGAATAAAGTTTTATTTTTATAAGACATGTTAGGGCATTTACACCCCTAATGGTCGAACCCCCCCTTAAATTTTAAGACGATGGTTTAATTTTTAGACAATTTTTCTAAGACTTTAGAATTATTTGTTTGGTTTTGGTTTGTTTTGAATTATGGATATTATTTCTTGAATTGTTTAATTAAATGAATGGAATTGTATTTACGCATGTGACCGATTCAATTAATTTATTTCTAGGTATGACTAGTGGGGAAGTTAGTTGTTTGCCTGATAGTGTTACCACACACACCATATTGCATGAGAAATGCTATTTTACTAACTTCGTACGTAAAAATGCACCTTTGATAACCCTTTTAGGCCCATCCAACCTGATAGAAGGATACGGAAAGGCCTGTATTATATTGTCCCATGGTACTAAATTAACCATTAAAGAGGTACTTTATTCTCCACGTTTCAGAAGAATGTTGTTGAGTTTTAGAGATATTCGAGATAATCAATATCATGTTGAAACCATTGAAGAGAATGGTTCTGAATTTCTTTGTATCAATTCTTACGAATATGGCCAGAAGCGTATTCACGAGAAGCTGGAACGTCTAATGAGTGGATTGTACATAATAACCATTCGTGCCATTGAGAACCATCACGTGGCCAGCCCTATGGTTGGATTCCAAAGCACTCTTCTACTTTGGCATGATCGAATGGGACACCCTAAACGAGATATGATGCGCCGTATCCTCAAAGTATCACATGGGCATCACTTGAAATCTTATCTCGGCCATCTGCTTTGCAAAGCTTGCTCCCTGGGGAAGTTAAACATTCAACCCTCACTTACATAGAGTATTTATGACCCCCCTAAGTTTCTTCAAAGGATTCAAGGGAATATTTAGGGACCTATCCAACCAATATGCAGACCATTTAGATACTTTATGGTGTTGGTTAATGCATCGACGCGATGATCACATGCTTGCTTATTGTCCACACGCAATGCTGCATACTCTAGCACAAATTATTAAGCTAAGGGCTCACCACCCTGATTATTTGATCAAGTCGATTCGACTGGATAATGTTGGAGAGTTTACATCATAGACCTTTTGTTGGGATTGAAGTTAAACATCTTATAGCCCATGTTCACACCCCAAATGCCCTGGAAGAAGCTTTCATAAAGCGCATTCAAATGATAGCTCGAACTTTGGTTATGTGAACCAATTTGTCGGTATCTGCCTGGGGCCATGCAATATTGCACACAGCTTGGTCTGCATAAGGCCTATTGTACCCAACCTCATTCACCATTACAGTTAGTTACTGGATACGAGCTTGACATCTCGCATTTACGTGTGTTTGGGTGTGCAGTCTATGTGCCAACAACGCCGCCACTACGTACCAAAATGGGTCCTCAGAGAAAAATAGGAATCTATGTCGGTTATGATTTGCCATCCATTATTCGCCACTTAGAACCCTTGATAGGAGATATTTTTACCGCACGTTTTGCAGATTGTCACTTTGATGAGGCAGTCTTCCCATCGTTAAGAGAAGATAAGATCACTAACGTTCGTGTAGAATGCCGTAAATTATCGTGGATTACTCCCACTATGTCTCATTTATATCCCTGTACCCTCAATCTGAATTGAAGTGTGACATATTTTAGATTTTCATATACCCGCTGCAAACGCACATGTAAGGATGAACGTATTTAACGTATGATGTAACACTACCTTGGAAGGCTGGACCATCCCCGAGGGTGGAACAATCGCACCTCCCATACGGCCTAGTCCACTGGTGGCTAACGAATCACCTTGTCCTACCCTGAAGCGTGGTAGGCCCCCTGGTTCAAAGGATTCATAACCCCAAAAGAGGAAAATGGCACAAACTAGTGACCCTAGTTTGAATTAGACCATTGCTTACTGATATGTTCCAACACATGAGATTATTCTAGATTACGGTGATGTCTTAGATGAGACATACCGAACTCCCGAGAATCGTGAGATTTTGGTCCATTATGCAGTATTGGATGAGGTTTGGAATCGGAATGAGATGATTGTCGATGATGCATTCGTGTAAACCGCTGTTTTTGACATTATGCTTAGTGATGACATTCAACCACGTTCCATTGATGAATATTGATGTAGAACGGATTGGTTAAACTAAAAACAAACAATTCAGGTCGAACTCGATTCGTTCGCGAAACGTAAGGTGTTTGGGCCTGTAGCTCCTACTCCACCACATGTGAAGCCCATGGGTTATAAATGGGTTTTCATGAGGAAGTGTAATGAAAAGAATGAAATAGTGCAATACAAAGCACACCTCGTAGTGCAAGGTTTCTCTTAACGTCTAGGATTGATTACGAGGAGACGTATTCCCTCGTAATGGATGTCATAACATTCCACTACCTTATCAGTTTGGTCGTTTTTGAAAAATTGATTATGCAGCTTATGGACGTGGTAACCACGTATCTCTATAGGGATCTAGATGCGGAATTGTACATGAAAGTTCCAAAAGGACTTCCATTGACTGGTTTAAATAGTTTTAGACCACGAAACATTCTCTCGATTAGATTAAGGAGATCACTTTATGGATTGAAACAACCTAGGCGGATGTGGTATAACTGTCTGAGTGAATATTTGATAAGTCAGGGTTATGTGAACAACAAATTATGCCCATGCGTGATCATAAAGAAGTCACATTCTGGATTTACGATCATTGCAATTTATGTCGACGACTTGAACCTCATCGGAACTTCCACAGAGCTTGAGGAAAACTCGTTATTTGAGATGAAAGATCTTAAGAAAACTCGTTATTGTCTCGGCCTAGAGATCGAGCATTGTTCGGATAGAATTTTAGTACATCAATCGAACTACACACAGAAAGTGTTGCGACATTTTAATGAGGATAAAGCAAAGCCTTCAAGTACTCCTATGGTCATTCGAACTCTATATGCTAAATGAAATCCCTTCCATCCCAATAAGGATGAGGAAGAGATTTTGGAGCTTTAAGTTCCATACCTAAGTGCAATTTGTGCTTTATTGTACTTGGCTCAATGCACTAGACCCGACATCTCATTCGTTATTAATCTTTTGGCTAGATACAACAATGCACCTATAAGCAAACATTGGAATGGTGTTAAAGCCATTTTCTGCTATCTCAAAGAGACGACGGATTTGGGCTTGTTCTACACCCATAAATCCTCGAAAGGAGTCGCCACCCTTCTAGGTCCTCGGGTTGATTCTAACCTCGTTGGTTACGCTGATGCTGGTTATCTGTCTAACCCACATTGGGCACGTTCACAAATGGGCTATGTCTTTACCGTTGGAGACATCGTTATATCTTGGACGCCTACCAAGCAAATGCTAGTTGCGACTTCTTCGAACCATGCTGAGATTCTCGCTCTGCGTAAAGCATAGTGCTTTTGGTTGAGAGTAGTTATGGAACATATTCGAAGCACTAGTGGTTTTACTTCCGTCGTTGACTTTCCTATGACGATCTTTGAAGACAATGCAACATGTATTGAGCAGTTAAAGAAGAGATGCATCAAGGGAGACAACACCAAGCACATAGTGTCGAAGATCTGTTATTTTGACCTGCAACAACAACATCAAAACATTGAAGTTAAGCAAATTCGTTCCCAGGACAACTTGACCAATCTCTTCACTAAGTCATTGCCCAAGTTTACTTTTGAGAAGCTCGACCAAGGAATCTATATGCGTAAATTATCTGAGTTGAATTGCTTGTAATTCTCTTATTTGGAAGTTATATCTAACTTATGGGGAGTATCCTGAAGCATATTTACTTGATTTTAATGTACTCTTTTTCCTACGATTAGGAGCATTTGTCCTACTGGATTTTTGCTACCTAACGAGGTTTTAACAAGCCACCCATCCTGGGATGATCATACTCCGTTGAGTTTACTACTTTCGTCCTGTTTGTCATTTGTGTTAGATATTATGCATACTTCTCACTTTTCTCCTTAGTCTATGGGTTTTTACCTACCTTAGGTTTTATCATAGTTAGGTTTTGTGAGTTTTACTACTCATGCATACTTTCTTTTAAATTTGAGACCCGCATTCACCCGTTGTGCCGATGACTTCATCAACTGTTTTACCTTATCTGTTGAATATCTGATGCAGTGTTTTGTTTGAGTATTTACACACTCAAGGGGGAGTGTTGCAATCCTATTATATTAGGAATGTGATTGTGTAAATCTTAGTGTACCTAGGAGTATCTTGTATGTTCCATTTGGTAGTTTAATTCCTATTAGAGTTGTAATCTTAATAGGGTAAGGATTTAACCTTCCCTACTGCTATAAATTAAGGCACAATGGAGTGATACAATACACACCTCAAAATTATATCTCTCTCTTCTCTCCATGTTGGTGCCGGCCCCTTTGCCTCTTTGTCCTAAATACAATTTAGGCAAATAGCCCTACAACACATTTTAATTTTTTAAGATTTTATGGTGAGCGAGATAATAACATGAATAGGGTGGATATAGCAGAACTCTATTAAAATATGAATCTCACTTAATTAAAGTTAGGTGTCAATAAAAAGACTTAAATCAATACATATGAGATCGCTTACAAATTGTGTATTTATATGTTACAGTTGATTTATTTTAAATTAAACATTTACAACATTAATTTTACAAAATAAATTATAAAATCTACAGTTCGATCGTAAACACAAAATATCTGAATCTGTCAAAATATCTAAAGGTGAAACCCTCCTCAATCTTAACGAGTCAAACATTCCTCTAATAATAATATGAGGCCTCGTTACACTGCACGGCAACACCCGCCATCTTTAGTTCTTACCCGGTTCAAGCCGTCCCGTTTCAACAGGGTCGCAATCGTCGCAATCGTCGCAACGCTAATATGTTCCAACGTCCCAGGCCATCAGATTGATTCTCGGATTGGCTGAAGAAGAAGGACCTCAAACGGGTAAACCTAATTTCGACCCCTAATCCAATTCTCTCTCCGTATTGCTGTTTCTTCCTTGCACATTTCATCTTTAAATTATACGTTTTGTTCTGTTTGGCTGCTGGGAAAACCGTTGGGAATGAAAAGATTGGGTATTCCAATAGCAATAAAATTTCCAGGAAAAGGGTTCCTCTCTAATTGAATGGTTATGCGAAAGATGCATCTTTGAATAAAATTGGGTTTTGCGCATAGGAGAAATGGACATACCATTTGAATTGCACTTTGTGGGTGCTTATAGTTTCTTCCTTGATAATTAAGGTTGTGTTTGTTGGACATGATTGGTTTGGATAAGATAAATCACTAGACTCGAGGCATGGTGGAGTAAATGGATGTCTAACTTCGGAATTTGGTCAAAGTTGAAGGTAGAAGATGAGTAATCATGAAGGTAAATTGTCCCTCCTAATCCCCATTGAAAATGGTAGGATTAGGACCGATAAATTTAATGAATACTCCGTCTTCTACCTTCAACTTGGACGAATTTTGGAAGTTTGTCATCCATTTATTCCATTAGTATGCCTGAATCTAGTGAATTATCCCATCCAAGTTAATCAACAAAGGCAGCCTAAGGGTATACTGTTGGCAATTGGGAATCTGAAGTAAATTCTTGTGGGGATTTAAAGTTCCTCAATTGTATGAAATCGTGTTAGTCTCTGATGAACCATGAGAGTCTTTACTAAAAGTTTGACCTTAACTGTAACAAAAAGAAGAAGAATAAATTGGTACTTGGTAATTGTTGGTAACTTAAAAACAGGTTGGGTCTAGATGGTGTTAGAAAAATATCCAATTAGTCACGTTGGTCCTGGGGTGTTGTTGCCATATTAGAAGTCTAGAAGAGGCATTTTGATGCCCCACGATAGCGAAATCAGTCCTGTTGTAAATTTTTATCCCAAAATTAAGAGGATATGATGAAGCACCGCACCGCAGTCCCTATTAGCCATTTGAAGAACATTCATGTCGGAAGGCAAACAGTAAAAATCGTTTGAGCATCTGCTTGCAAAGTTGTATGTTGATCTATAAGGGTTTGCTTGGTTTAACATGATTTTCGTAAGTTCATAGATTTGCTGGTCTACTTATAAGATTTGTCATATGCACTGTTTTGTCTGATAGGAATAAAGTATATGATCATAATGTGTGATTTCATCAGCCGAGAGGCCATTGTTTTCTCAACATTTTTCTTTGCTTACATCCTCTTTTCTGTTTACTATTTCTCACTTCTTTTTTTATAACTTTATATTCGCATGTTTCAGAGTGAAAAGCATAGGTCTGATCAAAGTTGTATTTGACTCATTACCCAAGAATGGCATCATTAGCTCAAACTCCATTCATGATGTCTGCCAATAATGTTCGCAGAGTCCACCCTGCAATGCAGAAATCAGTGAACACATCAAATACAATACATATACCCACCTTTTCTCACATTCGGATAAAACTTTCCCCTGTTTGCTGCACAAAACTGACTCGCTGCGAGCCCTCAGCTGCCTCATACGCCCCCACGGAGAGTGCTGGTGACAACTTCTTGAATAAAACCTCCAACATATTTGAAACCCTTTCTTCTATTAGCAATGATGAAGCACCAGAAACCAACAGTGAAACGCTTACTGATGCAAGTAATCAGACAAAAACGGAGTTTCAGGTCCTCAAATGGCCAATGTGGCTCTTGGGCCCTTCTCTTCTCCTCATCACCGGCATGGTGCCAACTTTGTGGCTACCAATATCTTCCATATTCCTTGGCCCCAACATAGCCAGCCTGCTTTCCTTGGTCGGACTTGATTGTATATTTAATCTTGGCGCAACCCTTTTTCTACTCATGGCCGATTCTTGTGCTCGGCCTAAACAGCCAGAACAAGCCTGTAAAAGCAAGCCCCCGTTTAGCTACCAGTTTTGGAATATGGTTGCAACCGTGTCTGGATTTATCGTTCCCCTAATAATGGCTTTTGGATCCCAAAAGGGCTTCCTCCAACCCCAGCTGCCTTTCATCTCATTTGCAGTTCTATTGGGCCCCTACCTTCTGCTTATTTCAGTACAAATTCTGACAGAGATGCTGACTTGGCATTGGCAGTCACCGGTTTGGCTGGTGACCCCTGTAGTGTACGAGTCTTACCGGCTGTTGCAGCTGATGAGGGGACTGAAGCTTGGAACTGAGCTCAGTGCACCAGCATGGATGATGCATACGATCAGAGGACTAGTGTCGTGGTGGGTACTGATTCTTGGCATGCAGCTGATGAGAGTTGCTTGGTTTGCGGGTTTCAGTGCTCGAGCTCGTAAGCAGTAGCCGCCTTCTGCTGATGACTAGTTTCTGGTGATGTGTACCCCATCTCGGAGAAGAAATGACTCTGGCTTTTAATGTTGTTTTGTGTTGCAAGTGAAGGAATGTGTGGTTTATCACCTTATCCTTTGCTTTGTTCATATTAATGTTATCAAACATTAAAAATGAGATCATTTTTATTCCATGACATGACTGTATTCGCATACCAAACGAATGTTATTTTGGACATTCATAAATAGTACGAATGCGATGTGTTCATAAAAAAAATAGCATTAATGACGAGTTCAATATCATTTTATTTCTCTATTTCTTATTGTAAATTTGTAAAACGTTGTACGAAAATAAATTTCTTCACGTGAAAGTTCTGGCACAAGAATCATAAAGCGAAAATGCACATGAAGGGATGGACGGTTTTTTTCCTTGGGTATGAATTGATAGATTTACATGTTTAAGGGTGCATGCATATCAAGTTACCAACTAGTTCTTGGTCTAGTAATACTTTTCTTTTGAATGTTAAAATAGGTCCCCAATTCGAATCTCTATTTCATCAATAAGAAAAGAAGATTCAATTAGGGCTTGGAAGAATTTTAGGAGAATGTAATTAGTTAGGATTTTAAAAGATAGTCTGAATTTTGAATGGGGTAATGGTAGAGAGACTACATTTCTAAACTAAATTTTGTAAACTAAATGATGTGAATGTTGATGATTGAATTATTACGTAAATATTGATTAACATGCTTATTTTTTATTAGTCATTTTGAATGAGTTTTGTATACTTCACAAAGACATTGTCCCTTTGAATGAGTTTTGTATACTTCACAAAGACTTCACAAAGACATTGTCCTTTTGAATGAGTTTCGTATACTTCACAAAGACTTTTTCACTTAGATTTCAGTGGAGTTGGTTTAATTTTATCAAAGAGTTTGATAAATTTTTGTAGATTTTTGTGGATTCGTATCGACTTTTTAGTGGTCCATTTAATAATGGCCATTTTGATTAATTTTAGTAATTGAAATGCCGGGTGGGCCATCATGTCATTTGTGATGTTAATAGTGGTTGTGGATGTGATGGTGGCGTGGCCGTGATAGTGTTAGTAAAGACAATGGTACGATGGTGGTAGTAGATACGGTGTTGGTGGCGATGAAGACGAGAATGGATCAAAGAAAAATTGCATAAAATCATCTACAATCAAAGGAAGGTTAGAGGTTTTTCAATAAATTAATATTTTAATAAACAATGCAGAGTCATATTTCTTAAAGCAAATCCAACGGCGGTGATAGTCCAATGGATCGGGGACCATTTAATTGCAATTGCCTCCCTCCCTTGCTCCACCCCATGAGGGCGATTGGGCTCGGGAGCAGCCTGAGTGAAAGGGGAGGCAAGGAATCCACAGCCCAAGAACCTTAGGCGAGCTAATGCAAGGCTGATGTCATGGTGACATCAACCACGTTATAAAATTAATATAAAATATTAATAAAAATTAAAAATTAATAAAAAATTTTAAAAATTAATAAATACAAAAAGTAAAAATTAAAAAAAAATTTAATTTTTCTATAAATATGTTATCATTATTTTCCAACTTACACCACAATTTTATATTTCTCAAATACCCTGGGTTGTAATTTCTTATTTAATGACACGTAGTACAACGAGACCGATTAAAAATCCTATTTGAAATTACAAATAAATTTATTTTTTTATTATTTTATAAAATAAAAAATACTAATATTTTATTGCCTATTGCCATGACTATTCAATTAGGGGTGAAGATGCAAAAGACAATTACTATTCAATAAAGGTAGTTACTGTTCAATAGGAAGTTGCCCTAAAGGGCCTTGATACGCTAGACTTGCTCTTACCATCTCCAACCAAGGGCCAATAGCATAGCTACAAAAAAAATGACAATACGAGTGCTAGCGTAAGTGAGACGCTGAATTCAGAGCTTAAAGCCTACAGCAGTCCAAAAGAAACGATACAACAATAGTGCACCCGAAGGTGACCCTACATAGGTGAGTGTCTGTCAGAAATGCCGGGACGTCCTCTGGGAAAACCACCGAACCCGCTAAGCTACTAGAACCTGGAGGGGCGCAAAACAAAAGCGTGAGTGGGCAAAAACAAATTCTTTGAAAACCATTTCATAAAATACATTCTAACCCCTCGCCGTAAAACCTGTATACTTCCCAGAAATTAAACATATAAACGTATGTACAAATATGTCAATCATGCTCAAAGGTATGCCATCATAATAATATGCAAGTGCTCAGGTGTAAATCACATCAATAGCATAACATCTGGCAGCCGGAGTCCCCTAAGTGACCTGTACGGCTGAATCTAGAGCTCATAACCTGCACCCCCGGTGTTAGTGCTCCCGCCCAGAGTAGGGCACAGTCCTTCACGTGTTGTTCACCTCCCGCACCACACGCTCAGCTTGAATCCAAGTTAGGTGCACAGTCCTGTCGTACAGACCACTATAGGTGGTTCCGACTCGTAGGTGACCCGCGATTATTCGCACAGCCTTCACGTGATCGTAGCACTAGAGCGTTTATATGTATTACACCCAGTCTTGTCGTACAGACCACTATAGGTGGTTCCGACTCATGGGCAGGTTTAGTGATTGATCCTTAAATGTATATTCTTATCCCTACCTAGCACGAGGCCTTTTGGGAGCTCACTGGCTTCGGGTTCCATGGGAACTCCGAAGTTAAGCGAGTAGCGCGCGAGAGCATTCCCAGGATGGGTGACCCATCGGGAAGTTCTCGTGTGAGTTCCCAGAAACAAAACCGTGAGGGCGTGGTCGGGGCCCAAGGCGGACAATATCGTGCTACGGTGATGGATCGGGCCCCGATTGTGGTGGGGGCCCGGGCCGGGATGTGACACAAACATAATTTATTATTTAAATTTAAAAACTACAACTTCAATTTAAAAATTACAAATTAAATTTAAAAACTACAACAACTTAAATTTATAGGAAAAACAAGCATGGAGTAGGCATTTAAGTTTTATGTTGTTAAATGTTTTTTTTTTATGTTGTATAATTTTTATATTGTTTAATGTTATTTAATGTTGTTTCATGTTACTTAATTTAATTTAACTGTAAAAAAAAATTCAAAAATAACGGCTAGCTAATGTTAGCTAGCTAGCCGTTGCAATTTGAATTGTGGCCCCACCTGGGGCCGGCTGGCTAGCTCATTTGGACCAGCTGGTTGTCCCTTTTTTATCAAGTGGCGTCCACGAGCTCTTTGGCCTGGCCATCAGTTGGAGACGATTTTCAAGCTATTTTTAGCCATCTGTACCCTTCGGTTGGAGATGGTCCAAGTTCCATTTGAAAATCAACCGATTTCATCACTTTTTCGTTATTATTCAACTAAAGTCACTGAATTTTTTAATAACTTAAAAATTTTCATAGGCTCTATATAAATGTTAATTGAATATATTCAAATTTATGAAATTTTAAATGTTTGTAAAAGTTCGGACGCTAAAGTTAATATACCCGAATTCTTATAAATTATTCAAAATCCTAATAGGATATTTGTTTTTTCTGCTTAAAAATGGAATCAATCAGTGACTTCGACGATGCACCATCATGCAATTCATCAAAACTAGAAATCAAATTTAGAATGTACCATGTGAAATACAGGTCTAAAATTTGTCTCAATGATTGAGCATTTCAGACTCTCACTCATGAGTGATATATCCTTGATTTAAATGAAGCATTGAAAATAGTAACCACCTAGTACTACAGTTTAATGATATTTATTTTTACTCGTAAGTAAGCGATTATTACTAAAAATAAATTTGAACCACATTAATAGTAGTCCATTATGAGGTTAATTTAAACCATATTAATGTAGATAATATCATTTGAAAAAAAAAAAAAAAAAAAAAACACAAAGCGTTGAAAACAGTAAGAACCAAAATTTCTTGTCCTTTTGTTTGGTCAAAGTATATATTGTCATTCATGACTTGGGCATTAAGTGATTCGATAATTTGTTTCTTCAGGTAATCAAAAAGACAAACCTACCCTTCAAACTCCAATAAAAGTACAGCTTTGATCTGAACCGAAGGAGCCGGTGACAAACCAGGTGCAGAAAGACAAGCCAACGCAGTCCCACGTTGTTCCTTCCCCTCTCTCAAATCATCCGAATCTCTTCCTCTCTTTCCCCCTCTCGACCACTCCTTGCCACCGGAAAACCGCTCACCCCGCCGCAAAACCACCATCCCCTCTCTCTTCTCCGATCGCTTCCGATATGAGCACCGGCGAGCTTCTCAGCATCGAACCCCAAGAGCTCCAATTCCCATGTACGCTCTCTCTTTAACTGCTTCTCCTTTACTTGCAGATCCGCCTTTTTTATTTTTTACTCTTTCTGATATTTTAACTTTCATTTTTTTGATTAATTTCTTTGGATTTGAATGAAATTAGTTGAATTGAGGAAACAGATCTCTTGCTCTCTGCAACTCTCCAACAAAACCAACGACTATGTGGCTTTCAAGGTATTAAATTTTCACCCTTTTATACTTTTTCACCAGAGAAGTTAATTTCTGGGTCTGTTCAATTTTGACTGCTAGAGATTTGCAATCTTGGTTTTGTTGTAATTTTGTGGTCTTTTAGGTAAAAACAACAAATCCCAAGAAGTATTGTGTTAGACCAAACACTGGGGTTGTGTTGCCAAGGTCCACATGTGATGTTATAGGTATACCCTCCATACTGCAATTCATTCTTAATTGCTAATTATTCGCATAATTACGATATCCCGATGTGTTAACATGTGAAATTTGTATGTGGGTTAAGTGACAATGCAAGCACAAAAGGAGGCGCCTTTGGATATGCAATGCAAGGACAAGTTCCTTCTTCAGAGCGCCGTTGCCAGCCCTGGGACGACCACCAAGGACATCACTGCAGAGATGGTAGTTATATGATTTCTATGCGACCTTGTGTATGAGTTTTTGAGTTTACTTGGCTATATTTTTTGTGTAACTGACTTGTCGAAGTATATAACATGTGTTTGCGCAACTGGGTTTTTGTATTTGTTAATTTTTAGTTCATAAGGAGTCGGGGCATAATGTAGAAGAGTGTAAGTTGAGGGTTCTCTATGTTGCTCCGCCTCGGCCACCATCGCCGGTTCGCGAAGGTTCAGAGGAAGGTTCATCACCCAGGGCTTCAGTGGACAACGGGAGTGCAGCTGCTTCTGAGTTCAAAGCTGTGAGTACTTCTTGATGGATCAGAAAAGAAAGAGAACAATTTGGTTTTGCCCTTAACTGTATTAAATAATGATTTCGTGATTATTTTTGGTTTTAGGCTTCAAGAGCTTTCTCTGAGCAACACGAGCCTCAAGATAACTCGTCTGAGGTATACTTTTTATTTTTAGACTAGGTGGTATATTGAGTGTTGAACATTAAAGGTTTATGTAGCTGTCAATTAATGTTGGTTGTTTTTGCATGATTTGCATCTGTGTTTATTTTACGAGTACAATACAACATTTTTAAACGTCTAACCCCATCCAAGTGTGGGGCCCTTCACGTTTAGCATCCACTAGAATTTGAACAGTTCATGAACTCCTGATTCAGAATTTACCTTTAATCATCATAGCAAAGCATTTTAATGCCCTGGCAGACCTGAGGGCGGGTGTATTAGTTGTATCTTATGAAGCTGTTTTCAGATATTTTAGCGTATAGCAGCGGAGAGACCCCTAAGACTTCCCTGGCTACTTTTCCATTAGATTTTGTTGTTCATAAATCTCTATTTGTAAGTTACCATTCCTCAGTTATGAATCCCTCCATTTACACAAGAAACTGAGGTAAGACTAATAATTTCAGAATTTATGATGACTCAAGTAGTTTGCAATTCTTGTATTCATTCGTGTAGGTTGAAAATTCCCTTTTGGAGAATGCCCTTTTCACAATATTGTATGGCGAGCTTGAGCATTATCTCAATTGAATTATCCCTTTCAAGTTTCTCATTTAGACTCGCTACTGCTGATAACCATTTTGGATGTCCATTGTCCTTTAATCGACATTGTATATTTGTTTTTAATAGTGAAGGATAGTTTTATGATGGAATGAATTTGTGGGGTTGCAGAATATTGACGTTGGCGGTATAAGGTTGTTAATATAATTTTGTAATTGCAGGCAAGGACATTAATTGCGAGGCTGACTGAGGAGAAAAATTCTGCCATTCAGCAAACTAACAGGCTTCAACAAGAACTGGTGAGGAACTTTTTGCTTCGGTTGTTTTAATGTCTGAGTGGAACATGGTCGTTACATGTGATGTCTTTACAAAAGAACTAAAGATCTTGAGAAGTTTTCAAGATTTTAAACCCTCACAAGAATACTAATTTGAGCTAGTTGACCTTTGTTAATAGTGATATGTAATTAGTGTACTAATTATGATCCAGGAAGCTTATTAAAATCTAGAAAGCTTCTTAATGATATTTTAAATTGCATGAACCCTAGATGTTTAAAGATTTGACATCGTATAGCTGTTTTGTCAAATCTTATCTGTCAGTATTTGATAATTCTCGGAACCAACCATTTATGGGACATCACTATACCGCCAGTTTTCAAATTTTTAAAGCTGTGTTACAATTCTGTACAGACTTAAGCATCTAGGTGAAAGTGAAACGAGATTGTTGACTTGTGCTAATGCTAATAAAACGTCATATGCAGGCTGTTTTGAGGCGCGGGGTCAACAGGAGTGCTGGCGGTATTCCATTTATCTATGTTCTTCTAGTTGGCTTGATTGGCATTATTTTGGGGTACATTCTGAAGAAGACATGACCAGGCACCTAACATTCCCGGGGCACTCCCTTTGCTGGACAATGAAATGTAAAAAAAGAAGTAAAAAACGAGAAATTGAATGCGTGGTTGATTAGTTGCAACTTTTGTTTATGGTATTACCAATCTGTATTGACACTGAGAATGTTCTGAAACACATTAGACGTAGCATTTTCTCATTGTATTAGACACCTTAAAATTGGTTCTGTTATTGACATGTAAGTCGAAAGTTTTCCGTTGTGCGGCCGCCTCCTTTGTGAAAATATTTGTGTTTTCTTTCCCGAATCGAGGATTGGTTTTCTACTCTAATGTTGGACGAATTGTAGGTTCGATTTCGATTTTTCAAAACATGTTCTCATGGCCGAAGTGTCTCAAATGCAAGTTATTACAAAGTTTGCTCTCACACTGTCGAATTTCAACCAATGCAAGCTTTAACCTAACCGATATATACTCTTCATATAAGAGCATTACACGTCCTGCTACTAGCTTCCTAAAGTCGATATCTTAAAATCGTCATGCAGCTTTTGAACCAATCTAAACCCATTTGATGTGCATTGTCCAATTCTTACTAATTCTTGCAGAGCACAGCGCCGTCGCGCATGCTAGCAACTTTTAATTCATATTCTTCGAAGGCATCAATCCACTAAAATTGTTTTGAAGCATCAATCCACAGCAGCTTTAGAAACACATTCTACCAAACACTCTACTCTATTTTATAGCTGATTATTCTTACAACACAGCATAAGCAACTTTTGTAAAAAGCACAATACCAAACTAGCCCTTAGCCTATTATTTACAAACTTCACAGAAATCTCTTTACTTGGTAAAATTCGAAATATCTATCGTTCCTAAGTCACTACTTACACCAAAAATTGGCAATTGATCTGTTCCTTTTCCATATTTGATTTGCTTTGAAAAAAGTGTTGGAATGTAAGCTGTTTTGTAACCTTGAGGTTTCGAAGTAAAGACCAAAGTGTTTCAAATGTGCAACGGCTAGTTTATATTTAAAGTGCAAAGGCTAGTTTTTCATGAGAATAGTAGGTAGAATCCTAGTCACTTAGAACAAATGTAAGGTTAGGATTAGAACATGTGAATGGCTGAAATTTACATATCTCTAATTGTTGCCTTCGGGGCAGTGTACCTTCTGCGATTTACCCATATGTCTTTGTAATGGATTGCACATATAAGACTAACAAGTATAAGATGCCATTACTAGATATCATATGAGTTTCAAGTTACAACACATCCTTTTATTTTTGTTTTATTTTCATGCAAAATGACAAGGAAAAGGATTATGTGTGGGCTCTAAAAAATGTTTAGTAAGCTTTTGGGAGTTGATAATCATCCTATGGTGATTATATCAGATAGGGAGTTAGAATTAATGAATGCTATACACATTGTCTTTCCAAGTACTTCCAATCTTTTGTGCGTGTGGCATATTGAGAAAAATAGACTTGCATATTGTAAAACTCATTTGGAGGGAAGAAGTTGATTGGCTTGATTTCATTTCTACTTGGACAATTTTAATCCAATCTCCTAATGAAACATCATTCAATGAAGCTTGGAGTAGTTTTGAAGTTAAGTACAAGGAGAAGAAATTTGCTTTGACATATATTCTTAGTACTTGGCTTCCATACAAAGAAAAATTTGTAAGTGCATGGTCTGAGAAAGTTACACACTTTGGTAACCGTGTTACTTCAAGAGCTGAAGGTGCACATGCAACGTTCAAAAAATATCTTCAAGTTTCAACCGGAGGTCTTCACGAGGTTAAAAAAAAAAATATGCATTGCTATTGAAAATCAATTTCAAGAAATCAAAACTCAACTTTCAAGCGAAAAAGTTAGAGTTGCACACAAGTTTCGACTTTCCTTCTTCAAAAAAGGTTGTTACTCATGTATCTAGGTTTGCATTGAATGAGTTATATAATCAATATGAAGCATCAAGTTCATGTAATCTTTCACCTTAATGTGAGGGTCATTTTCTCAAGACAATGGGTCTTCCAAGTGCACACAAGATTAGAGAGATGAATATTGAAGTCTTGCAACTAAATGACATACATCCACAATGGAAGATTGATACAAGATTGTTAATGAATGTCATGCAAGCTTAGACAGTGAACAAGATCAAATAAGCGGCATTCTATTGGAGTTTAAAGTATGAAAAGTTGCCCCTTACTCAAAAAAGAGAATAACAAAATGCATCTTTGTGAATTTCTTGATACTTCTCTTCCCTTAATTCTTGAACCTAATGATAAATCTCACAAAGGTCATCCGGTAGGGTCTAAAAACAGAAACGAATCAAGCTCTACAAAGTGTGTTCCTTCAAAGTTTGAAATAGTGGAGAAGGCTTGGAAACGTGCTCGATATGTACGTTATTATTATTTATTTATCTTTTAACATTCTCTACTATGGTCATGATTATCTATATATACGTGTAAATTAATGTTCATTGTTTATAGGTGTGAGGAGCATAATGATTTGCCAAAGAAACTTTTTGTTAATTGCTTAGATGCGTAAAGAACACACGAAGGTACACACATTTTTGTTTATTTTTCCAATAAAAATACTAATCAAGTTTCTAATTTTCTTTCCATTTGTTGACATGTTTACATTTAGTTGCAGGTTGGAGTGAATAGGTTGATTCATATCTTTTTGGTAACATTGACATCTTCTTTTGAAAACAAGATTAAGGCCAACCATAGTGCAGGCAGGATGTGAAAGCTTGTAACGATATATGATTTTTTTTTTTTGGGGGCATGAGTATGCTATTTGGGGATTGAAGTGTATTTGGATTGCTTAATAGTATCATTAGGTAATCGTTTTAGTTGACTCCAAAAAAAAAGGTAATCGTTTTATTTTTATTTCTTGCTGAATATATATATATATATATATATATATAGCTGTTTTATATTTTTTTCGTTAGGCAGTAGAAGACCTTAAGGTCTTCTGGTTAGGCCTTCTATGGTTTAGTGTTTTATGGTTGGGCGTTTTTAAAAAAAAAAAAAAAAGTGTAAAACAAAATAATAAATGTATTTTAAAATTCCAAAGATCAAAAAGAAGGAAGGGCATATATAAAAGATCACAACAATAAATATGTGTCCAACTAAGACAATAGACAAACTAACACACTTTGAGGCTTTTCATGGGAGAAAGCCTTCTGTGAAACACTTGAAAGTATCCGGAGCTGTGTGCTATGTCTACGTACCTACTTAACTAAGGCATAAATTGGAGTAAACTAGCAAGGAATTTGTGTTTGTTGGGTACGGAAATTGTGAGAAATGATACATGTTGTTCAATGTCAATACACAGAACATCATAATTTTAAGGGATGTAGTATTTGATGAAAAAGCAAACTGGAGTTGGGAGAATAACACTGAAGTAAAAATTTCAGTATCCTTGGATGGTGATTCTTCTAACAGTATGGACTCAGGAAGAACCTAAAATGATTACTGCAATTCAAGAACCTGCTCAATCTCTTCAATCCTTTCAAATGTCAACACCTCAAACTACAAGTGGGAATTCTCAACTGACAGGTTCACAGAGACTCCAAGTTCAACTCCTTACAGAATGAGGAGTCTGAGTGAAATATATGCTTCCTGCAATTTTTGTATTGTAGAACCAGAAAACTTCGGCGAAGCTAAGGATGATGTAGCATGGTAGAAAGCTATAGAGGATGAAATTGCAGTTCAAGAAAAGAACTCAACATGGGAATTGGCTAATAGACCACATGATAAGTCTGTTATTAGTGTTAAGTGGGTCTACAAAACCAAATTAAATTTAGATGGGTCTGTGTAGAATAACAAGGCAATACTTGTTGCCAAAGCGTACTTATAGTAACATGGAGTTGGTTTTAATGAAACCTTTGCACAAGTGGCAAGATTGGACATAATTAGAACCTTAATAGCTTTGGCAGCTCAAAAAGATTGGAATTAGTTCCAATTGGACGTTAAATTAGCCTTCCTCAGTGGAGTAATGGAGGAAGAGGTCTATGTTGCGCAGCTTGAGGGTTTCCAGACTAAAAAGGTAGAAGACAAGGTATATAGGTTGAAGAAGGTCTTAGATGGTCTAACGAAGTTCAAGTGAAGATATCTTATATACCAAGAAACAAGGCAACTCTAATATGTTCATAGTGTCCCTTTGTGTTGATGATGTGGTGTCACTAGCAACAATGATGGAATGCTCAATGAGTTCAAAATGATATGATAAAGCAGTATGACATGACAGACTTGGGCTTATTGCATCATTTCTTTGGTATAAGAGCGGTGTAGAATGATAGTGGAATCTTCATACATCAAATGAAGCATGCCAAGACTGTTGGAGAAATTTGAACTCAAGAATTGCAAACCAATGTACACTCTACTTGTGTCAAATGCAAAACCATGTCAAGATGATGAAATTGAAGCTTTGGATCAAAATTTGTATAGGAGTATTGTTGACAGTCTCCTCTACTTGATTGCAACAAGACCTGACATTATGCAAGCATCAAGTCTACTCTCAAGGTTCATGCATTGTCTAACAAAACCTCACATGGGAACTACAAAAAGTGATTGATCATGGAATTCATTATAGAAAGGGTCAAACCACAATTATTGTTGGCTTCGGTGACAATGATTGGGGAGGTAGTGATGATGATTCAAAAAGCATCTCAAAGTATGCCTTCACCTTTAGGTCAGGTGTGTTTTCATGGGTTTCTGTCAAGCAACAAAATGTTGCATTATCAACTGCAGAAGCTGAGTATATGGCTGCTGTAGAAGCAACATCTCAGGTCATTTGGCTCAGATTTGTGCTAAAGGATTTTGACGAAGTTCAATTGGAAGTTACATCACTGATGTGTGACTACATGTCAGCGATAACAATGATGAAGAATCCTGTATTCCGTCACAGAACAAGGCACATCAAGAGGAAGTACAATTTCATCAGGGACAATTGCAACAAAATGTGATTCAACTACTTTACTACAAAATTAAGGATCAAGTGGCTGATATCTTCACCAAGCCACTGCCTAAAGAGAGGTTCACATATCTGAGAGGTCTACTTGGTGTCAAGTCTAGAAACATCTTAAAGGGGAATGTTGGAATGTAAGCTGTTTTGCAGCCATGAGGTTTCGAAGTCAAGACCAAAGTATTTCAGCTATGTAACGGCTAGTTTTTATTTGAAGTGCAACGGCAAGTTATTGATAAGAGTACTAGGTAAAATCCTTGTCACTTAAAACAAATGTAAGGTTAGAATTAGAACATGTGA